AGATCACTGTAGACAGCCACACTGTCTGCCTTGAGCTTGGGGACGTCTCTGGCCAAGAGGACTATGACCGTATACGCCCATTATGCTACAACCAAGTCAACGTCATCATCATCTGCTTCTCCATTCCTAGCCCAACATCCTATGAGAATGTCAAACATAAGTGGCTTCCAGAGGTTAAACTCCATTGCCCTAATGTGCCTATTCTCCTTGTGGGAACTAAAAGTGACCTTCGTGGTGATCAGCGGGTCCTGGAGAAACTAAAGGAACAGAATCTGATCCCAGTCACCTGGCAACAGGGAACAATGATGGCAAAGCAAATTAAAGCTGTTAAATATCTTGAATGTGCTGCAATCAATCAGGATGGACTGAATGAAGTGTTTGAAGAGGCTGTGCACACCTTTCTCAGTCATTCAGCAACCACCAAAAAACCCTGTGTACTCTTGTAACTTAAGGTTAGATAGATAAATATTTTATTTTGACTGATCTGATTGATTTTGATGAAGTTTCATATTTGAATGTACTTTTCTGTTGGTTCTATGTATATATAAGAGTGTAGGTGCTTCTGTAAGCTATAAGTGTATGGGAATATCATGTACACTATGTTAAATTTAAAACTTTGTGATTTTGCCTTAAATACACTTTATTTATTTGTTTACTTTGATTATTTTATATATCAATGCCACGAGCAACATTAAATCACAGTTTTATATTTTTAAGTATGGAGAAAGACCATTTTAGTTTTCACATGGCTAAGATGTTTTTTATTCTGTTTGTTTCTTGGACATATGTGGCTTAACCACTAGCCTACCAGGGACGGGTTTCTTGGACATATGAATAAAGTGTGTAATTATCTTAGTTTTGCTCAGTTTATTGTGCAACGTTTTATTAACTTTACGTTGTCGTAGGACAACAAAGATTTTAATTTGATTTAACTAGTAGAAGAAACCAGCAAGATGTAAAGTTAACTGCTCGAGGTCAAATGGATAAAGAACCAATTAATATTTAACAATAACGTATAAATTATTAAACGCAATATCACAGAGCCCTTTAAAACCGGACGTTTACTTTTGAAAGAGTGACACAGCGGATGTGAATTAGATTCTGCTTCCGGAAGTGACATTGTTTTGTTGTGTGTGCTTTTTTTGCTTTGTAATATTGTTTCAGGTCTTTTAAACTAGTTTTCATAACTAAACCAGGCTCAGATTTAATTAAGGGTAAACATATTGCTAACACGGTGACCATATGGTGGGTTTGTTGGACCTCTGAGGTGTTTAAAGGGATAACGATAATGTTTACGGTGTTAGCTAATGTAGCTAACGTTAACTATCCACGTTATAACTTCACGACTAGCTTGCAGGTACTGCTGTTGTACATTGCCTGGTTAGGGACCTGACACTAGTTTAATTGTAGTCACAACTGTTTTAAATGTGCTCTATTTAAAATTATTGTTTAATAAACCGTAAATAGTTATAAACACGTAATACTGAACATAACATTACCGTTAAAGTGGAAGTGCTTAACTCAACAGGGCTTAGTTAATATTTCATTGTAATTAATGTGCAGGGGTATTGCAAAGAAACAAATAAAAAGACTACAGAAGCTAACTATGCCTTCAAAATATGACAGCAGACAGATATAAAAGATTAGGCCCATGTGCGATGAATGTAAAGTTTCCAAATCACTGTAATATGGAAACTGCACTGGCATAACCACATAGATTCTCAAGTTTTTTTTTTAAATGCATATTTATCTTGTTTGTTAATTTTACTGTGTTAATACTTTCTGTAATAACAGTACAGTTTGTAATGGATTTATAAAAGAAGAGCATCTTAAGTTTTCAAAGTTGTCCAGATAGTTTGGGTGAATGGACATCAACCAGTCAGAGAACGTTTTTGTTTCTGTTTCTACTGTCATCAGTAGCAACATTTATCTGACATTTTCTGTTAATCATTATGTAACAACAGGTGTACACCTACTCATTTTGCAGAGGATTTTGCATAATCAGTCCACAGCCGTTGGTCACCCTGAATGTTGTTTCATTTCAGGATGTCTAAACTTGAACGTTTGAACGTTCGTATAGCCAAGCTACTGACTGAAGCCGTGCATGAAGTTCTGGAGGTTGTGAAGGAGACTGTGTCAGAGTACCAGGAGAAAACTGCCAGAACACAGAGAGAGAACGAGACTCTGAAGAGGCGACTGCAGGAGCTCCAGGACAGGATAAATAGAGAGAGCACATGTGGGTACAAATATATCATTGTGTGGTATCATTACAGACATTTTCATTTTGGTTCAAGTTGAACACTCCTTGCTTTTGAATTTCACAGCTGTTCTACCTCCAAATGGTCAAGTGCCTGAAGAAAAAGAAAGCACAGACAGCCATGAGCAGGATCTAAACCCTGCTCAGACATTTTACTCAGAAGTCACTCTAACAGGGCAAAAGCCAATAAGCAGCCACAAAGTTGACAATGATGTGAAGAAGGAATCCAAAGAGCAGGAAAGTTACAATAATACTGAATCACAAACTGAGTGCAACTTAGCACAAACATCAACTGAACATTGCAAAGCACAACCTGAGGAGGGCACACACATTAGTGAAGAGGCACTGACTATTCAGACATCACACAATGCAAGTATAAATATCAACGCTGTCTCATCCAATCAAATGTGCAATTCTCACTCCAGCAACTTACTTGGAGCAAACCTGACTGTTTTTAAAAGAGAAGCAGAGCTAACAGACTGTACAACATCAGCACCACCATCTCTACCAGAACATTATAGTGGATGTGTGGATTTAAGCTGCAACTCTTCTCGTCACAACACTTCTGAGACCATCAGGCCACAAATTGCTGCAGAACCTTATGGACTCATCTTTACCCAGTCAAGTCATACCTTACAGAGAAGGCAGGGCTTCACAAAAACTAACAGGGCTTCATCTGATGTGAGAAAAATCAGAAGGGAACACTTCAGGGTGGATGATTCACATTTGTGTGTTGTATGTGGAAAGACGTTCAGCACGGTCG